CTAGGAGATCGTTTATTCGGAACATCGCTCCAGTGTCTTTCGGGTTACACTTTCCTACACGTATCTTGGTTTTGGTCTCAGCAAGTCAGTTTGCATTGTACAATAACATCCCACTTTGTCGAAACCAACTCATTAGAGGTCGTTTTAAGAAATCAATATTCTATAATGTTAGGTAAAATTGAAAGACATATTGACGACAGAAATCAAATAAATGATGTTGTGCTAATGAATTTGATGCATGCAGTGAATCCTCTGCAGATTCCTTGAGTACACATGAAATGAAAACAGGATGTATGATTCCATTGGATGACTGTGGTTTAGACATCCATTCCGTTCAACAGGAATCGAATTCTCGTGATACTGCGGTCTGTAGCTTATGTCCGTCTTCTAATGAACAGCCATTTGACTCATTTGTCACCCCACAACTTTCGATGTGTGTTGAACCACTCATATTACTCGGTGATCGAACGCTCGACCCAGTGGTGATGGGGCTTACACGGGTACCCTACCCTCTGCCCTCAATAATGAAGACAGAACACTAAATGCAAAGGTTGCATAATTCTTCCACTTCTAATCAACTGGTACGTTCCTTGGGGAAATTAAGACCCATATCAGGAATCATTGCAGAGGTGACCATATTTCACTTCAATACTTTAAATCTTTATTAAATTCTAAAGCATATAAGCAAAGGACTCGGCTTGCAGTCAACAGCACTTCTGTAACAGCGTCCACAAGATGAATTTACTATGGAAATGGAACCCTCGGTATATTATTTAAACAACCAGATGTATAAATAAGCAGAGTAGCATAGCCCTTCTACAGATGTTAATTTAATCATATGAGAATGTCAGTCGTTCCTCATCTCACTCCCAAATCCCGACAGAATTAATCCAAAAGACGAATAAAAATTCATGCAAAAGGAATAAGAAGAGATTTTCCGTGCACTAAACGCGTCTTATCTGGATCTGACCGATACTCAATCTTGATCGATCTTGAGTTATGCTGCAACTAAAGCATTCAGGCATGAAAAAGCCAATCAATTATGGAAATGTCTCTCAAACTGTTCATGCTTGAAAGGGAAATCCAGCATTCCCGATATCCACCTAGAAGTCATAAAATAGAATAATCTAGACTCCTGAACGAGACAGGCTATAAAAATCGGATTTCTCATGTTACCTGATCGATCTAGATTGATCGTATCCAAACGAATGAAGATGTCTAGTTAAAACAGTTGAGTGTGAGTTTGGTTGGCTGATTTCCGCATTGTTATTAGAAACGAATCATGATAACTTTGAAAGGGAAAAAGAAACAGATAGCAACAATCTCGCAAAAAGATACAAATTTTGAATGACTTCAAACCGAAGATCAGTGCGAAAATAAATCGCATGCATGTTTTCCTCATCGAAGGCTTCTACTAGTTGAGACGTCGGGCAAAAGTTTACTTTCGTTTTCACAAATAACTCATTTCTGAAAATTAATTCACTCTAATTCATGAAAGTGTGAAAAAACATCAGCTTGGAAAAAGAAGCGATCACGAAAAACAAAATGAGATAAACTATTACTTTGGGCTTCATCTAGTAATCTTCTAAGATAAACAGTCTATCTAAAGAAAGTGGTGAAATTACCGGTTGTCTTATCTTGTCTCATGCGAACCCACAGACATGCACATGGTCCGTGTATTGTTGTTCTGATGTGTATCACACTTCTTGGTGAGCTAATTCAATCTCCTCCTCGTTTTCCATACGAGTTTCAAAGAACGGGATAAATTCCAACCATTCAGTTCTTGTGCCTTGAATTTTATTGATCAGCTCGTCACATTTTTTGCATTTGAAAAGCGTACTCGAGATTAAACTGTCGCGCGAAATTGAATCGTTTGTAGCCCCATTCGAATTTTGTTGTTGTCTGGATCAATGAAACTCGTGCATGTAATCACTGTAAGTGGTATATCTGTCTCGGACAACCTGTAGCTTCAATGCGCCATCCACTAATTTGTTCACAATCATGAATGCATTTTCTATCATAATTCTGACTTGTGCTGTTGCGATTATGCAAGCTCAAAGAAAATTTGCAAACAAAAATCTACCTTTCTGGTGGCCATGGTCTTGTTTTATCAGAGAAAACTCCACCGAATCTGAGCTTGAGATGATCGATCACCTCTTGTGGAGAAAAGACGGAGGGATATGTCACGCTCGTCTCGAAAACTTAGGGTACCACAGTATCGGCTTAGGCTTATTCATAACAAGAGGGTGAACAGTCAAATCTGTGTGCTATCCAGTCGCTTGAAGGCACTGCATCACTAATCTGAATAATCCTTGCTTATCTTACATTGCAGCTAATAAACATTCCTGATTCAGAACACCTCAGACAGAAGTTACGGCGAGTGACGCTTTTCATCCCAAAGTCGGTGAGTTACCGATCGCTAGTTCATCTAGTGAAGAAGTAAAATCCTGGTTTCTGACAATTCTTATTGGTATAAACAAGCCGTGGGACAGCTGATTGTGTTTGTTGACTCGTTTAGGGGACTGAATGCACTGAAGACGCTGGACTTGAGAGCCGTGTCTACCCGACTGGACACTGGGTGTCGATGTACGGCAGACACAACTCGCTACTATTCAATTATTTTGAAGGCTTGACTGTTCTGGCAAAAAAGGAAATTTAACCAAGCCAAATCTCATCTCGTTCCCGACTAGTACACCAATCCAGATCACAGAATTTTCAACAGAAACAAACATAAACCATAAATCGTCATGCCACGTCGTTCACTTTAATCTGCATTCTATAAAGTTAGTACAATTTTGTCACTACCTGTTTAAACAGAGCTTAAATTTATGAAGATAAAGGATAGATCGTGTTTACATTTAGGTACTATTTTCGAAAGTTGAAGATCGGCTCACGTTAACTAAATCAATGAGATTATTCAATTTACCACCCACAGGAATTATACCATCGGTCAATAAATTTGATATTGTAAACAATATAATTCTGCAGTTGCGATTGAATTTATTCAGATACTACTGCTCATGCGAGGGCGTTGGAACATGATATTTTCCCTCCGGAGTTGGTCGAATCGGAAAACGATAGAAAAATTTATTGGAAGATGAGCAATGAAGCAAAATGATTATATGCACCACCCAGCATAAAAAAACCATGGTGAGCAGCGATAGGGTGAAAAGCGAACAACTTGAGTTATAGTTGTTTCGATTAACCGCAGGCAGCTTGCTCAGTTCANAGTTCATTCAACCATTAACCTTGCACCGTGCGATGGTCTGGGTTGCTGTATTTTAGCTTTCCATTTGTACGAGCAAGTGAAGTGAATAAGTAGTGAGTTGGGATTAGTGGTACGGAGAAGATAGAGGATTCAGTTAGACAGGGATCGCAAAGAAATTGACTAAATGCACAAGTGCCACTGTTGATGACACTGTCATATCACTTGATGTCTCTAACCAACAATATGACCGACCCAGTGGTCCCTAAAGAGAAAGTTCAACACGAACTATATGTCCAGGTTACCTGGTCAGGGTTTTTCTACTCTGCTGCAAGGTCTTCGTTTGCCCGTCCCTGACTTCCTCAAACTCACCTACACGCAATATCCACTCAGAAAAAATCTCACATCGAAGGATCCTATCAGTTGACATGTGTAAAATCTGCTTCATCTTAATTTGGCGAGGTCATGCACTTACTCCAGTACTAGGGTAGTTACAATATCAAGATTACATACTTCCCAAATAGAGGAATAAGAAATGGCTTCCAGACATACCAGCTGAAATGATCAAAGGCGTATACAGCGCTGAGGACGCATAAACGACGCTCGAAGTGCGTGTGGTTTGACTGATTAGACACTGATCCCCCATCCGTTGCGGTTTTTCCAGAGCTAATTTAGCTAGCTGAAACCTCTCTTTGTGTATCCTTAGAAACTCCATCTGCCTCGGCTTAGACGAACCACAGACCGATTTATTTGCTAAAAAGAACCTTGTACCATGACTTGTGTGGCACCCGATTTGGACTCAGACATACGTGCATCTCATAATACAGTTCGACAGAAAACCGTCGCATTCATGCGAATTCGCTTATTTTCTCAATGATCGAGTTGCATGGCTATTACAAAAAAATAGGAGAACGCAGTTATTATATAACATACGGTCAACTTGTTACTTGTGTTACGTGGTTATCACAGAATTAGCGTTGGAAAAGATAAAATCAAAACGTTTCGTCCGTTACCTGTGAATGTTACATTTTTCAAAGTAATTGTTAAATGATTTTGCAACGCGACAGTTTATTGATCAAGTGGCTATCGACTTTTATTTGATATGTATTTATCAGCAAATTATCTATCATTGTGCTCCATAGATATTAGTTAAAATGCATTAAATTGAGTTATTCTAACTGATGCGTCCAAAATCAACATAGAAACTACGTTACAAATGTACGCAGTATTTGAGCATCTCACGACTGGATTACCTGATACGATGGCCTGTGCCCCGTGCACACCGTTGTAAAAGCCACTGCGAAGCAGAAAGCAAACTCACAAAAAAGTGGATGTTTGGGCGAAAAAAGAAGGAATTCATAGTACACTTAGGAAAATAAAAGTGCCACGAGAACACAGTGCAGAGAGTGAGAGAAAAAGAACAGGAAAGACAACGAATACGAGGAGATTAACACGAGAGGGGGCTGAGAATGTGTATCACAAAAGACCATTGTTCCGGTCATACACAAATAAAGAGAAACAATAAACAACAGAGTTTACGAGGTATTTACGTCTAAATGAAGTCGTCCGGATATGGTCTTTCAAACTAGATGGACAGCTGGGTAGAGGAATAAACTTGAACAGCATCAAATGACAAACAAACCAACAAGAATAATAGGAACTTACTTCCAGTTATGTGGATGTGGTTATTGAAAGAAGAATTCATCTTGACAAAAAAGCAACAAACAGTGTGTAAATGCTGAAAGTTATCATAACACAGTGGTACATGACATTTTATTCCAGTCACTATTCTTGCTTATTTCCGTCCACTGTCTGAGGGAGCGCCGTCCAGGTCCCAGAAATACTCATCAGTCTCCTGGGCTCTTACAATCGGTGTTTTCATATCATGCTCAGCCGGACCGGGATGGGAGTCGGGGAGTTCGTCTGCATTCACTTCGTGTTCGGTGAAACCGGGACCAATACGACCAAGCGATTTTGTATCCAGCTCGTCCGTGTGAGCATCGATTTCCGATAGTCGCACATAGGGTAGCGAATGCATAATACCGACCCGTTTCAATTCACAAGNCTGACACCTGAGGATTGTTGTGAAACACCGAGGCGCGGATCGTCACTGTCCAGTAGACGAGATAGACCGAAAGACACTTGCTCGTCGCCTGGCGCATGTACGTATGCTCGTAATTGACGTTTCCGATGGCAGTAACGGAAGAAGCCGAAAACAATACACAAGCTGGCTAACTCGAGCGCCACACCAAGAATCGGCCACCATACTGAGGCCCAGACTGGAATAGATGGAAAAACATAGCATTCTCCATTGCAGTGCACAAACATAAGGATGACAGAAAACTTGTTCCATGTTAAGGATAACTTTAGATAGCAACTTTCCAACCTCACAACTGAAACACTGGCACTATTCAAAAAATCACCTAGCGTTTAGAATTTTCTTTTAAACAGTGGAAAGAAAGTGTTTGACAATGAGAAATAAGCACCATTCTCAACATTCTAGACGATTTCGCGTCCACAGTTGTGAGTGATTGCGATAATCCCGATCCTGCATTTTGGTGGAGGATATCACCATTCTAACTGAGAACTATCACAACAGACAACGCTCTCTGCGCTGATTTGTAACTCCAAGAGGCAGCGGAATGGCATCGAAACACCATCTCTATAAAGATTTTCATGCACATAAACGTACACGAGCATCGCTACCTCCGAACCATTCTTTCTCTCTGGTCGCAGGTTTTGGATGTATGAGATAAAAGACTATCGTTACATCCAATGATTGATTACGCCGTTCGTCAGATTTCCTATCTCTGTCTGCTGTGAATCTTAGACAAAATTTTATACGTACGCATAACTGTCTATTACTGTTGATCAACAACTCGAGGGAGCTGCACTCCTCGGAGTAGTTAATATACTCAGGTTTGTACGCTATCAGGATGTAAAAGAAAGTTCTGCACCCTAATATGCGCTCCAAAATTTCTCAGTGTTGCTGTTGACATGAACAAGGGCGAAATCCGTATCTGATAAACGTTCAACAACAAGAAATGGAAGATTGCTTTGCAAAAAGTTGAAGTATTTGCTATCTGACTATATAATTTCAATTGTCTGCCTTAGGAATTGTGACGAAAAAAAAACTTGATTTTACTGATCTCTCTCATGTTTGAAAGCTATGCGACCTATAGTGATACAAAATTTCGTTAAATATGCTTCATTTCGTTTTTTCAACAATTATTGAGCTATTGATCGCAGAACGACCAATTATCCTATCGCCATCATCGAGCGATGTCAGATAAATGGGACAGCTCCTGCGAACCTTTCAATTACTTATGAAGTTGATAGAACCTTGTTAGCAGTATGGTAGGGGTGGAAATCGGCATTCCACAGGGTGACCTGTCTTCGCCAAGCTAAGCACTAAGCTTTCTTACGCCCCATCGCCATTCAAGTTAAAGGACCCAGTCAATGTCACTGAAGAATAAAACTTTCGTTTGTGTGGATCGCCGCAAATTATGTGGTACAAGAACGTAACGACCACCCCATTTTCCACTCCGCCTTCAAAACAAACGAAATGCCTCCTGATCGATTAGTAACGCAGATAAATCAGACGCCATCAGATCAAATCGAGTCAGGTGACTTGGCATCTAAAGATCGCGGAGTCTGAAATGTATTAAATGTCAAGGGTGAGCGCTCGCTTCAAGATTGGATCGTAGTCAGTGGCCGATGGTGCATTTCGACGGCTCAGCGCTGGTCACTGCTTGTTCGCCGTGCCCACTGGTCAATATCTATGCAATCGGACCATGTTTTGTTACGCTTGGGATATAGCCACACCAAAGTTGACGGAAATGGATGCGCACAGTTCCAGGTAAAAGGCAGTTGTAAATCAGCAATGGAAGCGGAGCTCTACCTGTCACCAAATACAACGATGCGTCGAAGGGATCTCTTCAACGATGGTTCTTGACACATGATAAAAACATAAGATATATGTCCCCTCGAATTTTTCTGTTTTTCCGAAAGTCCAAAAACTCATACCTTGAGATGTTAAATAGTATTTTAAGCGCAAATCACTTACAAGTTACCTCATCGAGAGCATTATGAATGATCGCGAGAAAATGGTTGGCAGGAAAAGGAAAAAAGAGAAGGCTGAGATTATTAGTAACGGTTACAATCTTTTCCGTTCAACTGGTAGTAGGAGTACCAGATATTAGATGTAAGGTGATTAAGGAATCCGACGGTACATTAATCACATTCCGCAACGATGTCTAGGAGGCGGGGTTAAACATTTCAGGTCACAGTTCAACCGGCTTTGATCGACGTAAAGCTTGATGGCTTCTGCCTCAAGCGAAAACGGTCAATCAGTTGATACCAGTTTTTCTTCTACAGTGGAGGTTACCAGAGAAATAAGTGACCTCAGTTTCAGTTCTTATAACCATCAACCAAGCACCTTCGTGCGACGGTTTTGCTTGCTATTACCTCAAAAAGTATAAAATCTCCGGCTCGGATGGGTTGTCACCATCGGCTTTCAAGTATAGAAGCACAAGTTTGGTCTTGAGACTGAAAAAAACTCTTAGGCTCGTCACGGGAAAGCTGACAGGTTTCAGGTGAATAGGGTGAAGTGATCATAGTACCAATTTACCACAGGAGAAATAAATCCACTTGAGAAAACCACAGGGGAATGAGTTTGGTCAACAGTCTTCGGGCATTTTGCTGGCATTATACCTCGTTGACATTCTGCGGAACGTAAACGTTTCACAGGCGAGAACCAGGCCAATTTTATATCGGTTCTAGGATGTATCTACTATACGTTCGCTGAATTCCAAAAAACAGACCCACTATTATAATCTTCTTTGATCTAAAAGAGATCTTTTATCCAGTTGATCATACAAGACTGAAGTGTTTTTCCCCGTGAAGGTTGTGCAGATTAATTTTATTACAATGTTCTGATTTTCTTTAGAATAATAGCCCAAGCCGAGTACGAACCTACGGCTCTTTCTCGCTTTATTTCACCATGGAAAACAGTGTTCACCAGGGTCAACTCTTTTTCTCTGCAGCTCTATATTAGATATCATTCAGGAACTGATCCTGACTTCCAGAGAGTATACAGTCGTCTATATACTTTAATATGGGAAACTTGACCTCGAGTATACTGGAAACAAATAATGTTGCACGAAGACTCAAATAAGTTGAAAGCCTTTGTGGATGATTTGATTCGGGATGCGTTCGCACCTCCAAAGTGTATAACTTTCTTCCAAGAACGGTCTGCTTCTGCCTCCAAACGCACTTCAACTAGGTAAACAATTAAAATAGTAGAAAAATGTTTGTCTTAGGTAGCTACATTTCATCCGAGGGACGCCTCACGGATGAGGTGTCCACGTGCATACATATGCCTCACGTAGTGTTTCTCAGTTTCAGACAAGTCTGGCTCCGCAGCGATGTTCGGTTGTTGGTGAAGGGTTCGGTGCTTCAGCCTTCCGACAGGTTTTCCTATATGATCCGTGGATCTAGTCGGGAGCAGGACAAAGACAGACTATCGATGTTCAAACATTGTTTTCTAGGCCGCATTGCACATGCTGGTGGAGCAACCGGACAAGCAATGCCAAGAATAGATGCAGTTTTAAGTTATCGCAGTCGTGCACTAGATACAGCAAACGTTCGGCCTCTGTGAATCCAGATGAGGTGTGTGCTACACACATCAGCAGAGATTCCCTCGGCAAGAAATGTTTGCCGAGGCAAATAGTGCAAGGAAGTCAAGGACAGGCCAAATAAGACCTTACATCAGGGCATGAAAACCTTGACCAAGGAACTTAAACATACAAATAGCGTTAGGCTTCCCGGTTTGAGATTACTGGATCGACCGCATCGCTGATTAGAGACACTATGTGATATGTTTAAGTCCCAAAAACGGTGGAGCTTGTATATCTAGCTAACTTCTTTGTAAATTGAATTTAATTATATCCTGCCTCTTCATCTTCTTTTAGTTCACTACTTATTCCCTCTACTCATTTGTGCAAATTAGCAGCTAAAATACAGGAACCAAAAGCGCCGAGTGAGACCCATGACTGTTTAAACTGAATCAAACTGAATAATTTCCTTTACCGATGCAGTTCTATACGCTATCCTGGACTTTATGTACTCCGTCTCTGATAATAAACCGCCACCCAAACCCTCTATATGCGCCTTTAAATTCGGACCCAAAAGTCATCTATGCGTGGGGTATTGGGGAAGTAGTGTATTGCCTCAAATACATTGCGTGTGCTTTTATTCCACACCGCTGATCATTTTCCTTTTAATTCACATACCGGCTCTAATTTACCTTGCCTCACAGCATCTTCTGTTCCATGTGGGTTAGAATTTTCATTCCTAATTTTATGGCTTTTTCTTGGTCGTAGGAATTATCCATCTTAGGTCTGGGAATTCTTCTTACCTACTATGTGCGTGGCGATAAATTGGCTGCTATGCAAACATAGTTCTCTACGGAATAATGCTGCCACGCCCTGGATGAGGTTAGACAGATTTGAATAACGGTATACTCAATGCCTTCAGTTTCATCACTGACCCCAGTGTAACTGTGCTCATCACCCGAAGATGAAGTCCTTGTGGTTGTGATCCTCACTTCACTTTTATTTTTTATTACCGTCTTCTTTTTTCACGCAAATTCGTAAGGGAGAGGATACCGTTTCTATTCTTACATGTTTTCTAGCCCTAGAAACATACCCAGATTTCCTCCTAACAAATGCACATCAAATGGTGACATTTTCAATTCTTGCCTGTATTTTATCACGCGCAATCGCAAAGTCAAAAAGTTGATTTACAGTAAATTTCATCAAACCACAGGTTTCATCTTAAAGTTTAAGCGTAAAACCACCAGTTTTATTCATGTTGCTTGTGGTAGAGAAAGGTGCAACCATATTCATAAAATATTTATGACGTAGGTATGTATAGGCTTCTTCGATCAACTTTCTCCCTTTCTTGAGCATCACGCACACATTTATATCTATTTCTGGCTGCTCACTATCTGCAAACGGATCATCACCGGTCGAGTGTCTACTGTAAAACGATGTGCGTCCTTTGTTCATTCACCCATATCGTTTGATGTTTGGAGATCGGGTCTACTGTTTCCATTGTGATCAAGAGATTTCGCTGATGAACAGGAACTGGTGAACACTAGTGGACATTCCACAGGCCTAATCCAGTCACATAAATCACTTCATTAGGACCAAGTAGGATACATATTGCACTTTGCATCAGTGAAAATCATTAGCCAAACTAAATCAAAGCATGCCAGAGGATTTTTCGAGACTTGGAATTCTTCGAAAACCTGTAAATTGAATGGAATCCCTCGTACTTTCTGGTGTGACTCAATGATCAAATAACAAAACATAAAAGCGGTCTTATAGTGACGGTGAACGGGACCGAATGACCCCAAAATAAGATGAGAGAACAATTCCATCCACTTCGTGCTAGTTCAACGGTAAACGGATATGAGAATAATGAATACAATGGACCAAAACGATAATGCGAAAACAACATAAATGAACCAACAGAAGCAATAAAACGCTGTACCCCAAGCACTTAAAACATTACATTGACTGCTGATGAAACTTTAGTAAACCAGTTACTGAGCTCAACAAATAGACAAAAATGAACTTAGTTAACCTGAGCTAAGAGAACCAATTTTTAATGCTTTGTCCCCGTGTGTTGCAATCCTACGCTGTGTATAAGCTACTTAGTTATAAATGTTCCCCTTTTTTGTAATGAGAGCACAGAGGCATAACTGTACCAGAAAGCGACCGGGGATGATAACCTAAAACTTACAGCCGGAGACCGAGCGCACTGGACCCGGCCACCAAATGGCGGTTTGACCAACACTGTTTTTTGTCCAACACCAAAATATCACTGGTAACGGTGGACGATCTCCGCCGGATTCCAGATGCAACTCTCCCGTACTATCCACATTTCGTTTTCGTCTTCGCCGTTCGAGCACTTGCCATGGGTTTGCTAAATCTTTCTCCGAGAGCGCTTCCCCCGATGACAGTTCACTCAAATAGGTTGCCTTGCCAACTTCGTTCACTCGACGAATTGCGTAATTTGCCCATTGTGGCTCGTTCCATGCCCAGATAAGTCCAGATTCCGACACCGGTGGGTAGGCGGCAACCAGTTCACATGCCCCAGTCCAATTAGCCACGGTGGAGTCGGAGGAATTGCTTCTATCAAGACTAGCTGTGCATGGTGGATCTTTGCACGTGAAACGATACGAGAAATTGGCCGGTGGGACGGGTGGAGGATCGTAGGCTAGTCTGATAATCGGGGCAACTGTCGAAATTTAAAATAAAAACGATCTTTCAGCCCAGATTCTGGAAACAGAGTGCATGTGTTTGTCTGACTGCAGAGGCAAGTTGAGAAACAAAAGCAGCCCGAGCAGGGTTTGCAGCATTTCACTGGATGAATGTGAAGTTGCGTACGACGGTAATTTCTGAGTTGTCTTATCTGCATGTTGTGGATAGATGTGCTATCAAGAAAACATTTACAATGATTTAGATTGAGAGTTTTTGTGATTTCTAATGACCTCATTGAGAAAGCATTACCGTTAGCTACATCGAAAACAGCCGGTGTGACGTCACAGAATGTCAGCGAGATTGTATGTATCACCAGGAATTGTTATATTCATAACGAGAGGCATAAGTAACAAGTCTAAAGAAAATCTGAAAATTAATCCGAGTTAGCACCAGTAGTTCCCGTATTGCTAGAGAAAGAACCGAGGGAAATTGAAAACAATCCCTCGATTTGGTTCTATTTCTTATTCGACTGCGTTTTGGTTGCAACTTCTGTTACACTTGGAGCACATTGCCTCATTTCCTCAGTTTTATTGATCGTTGTACTGTCCTATTAATTCATTGGTTATTTTTCGCATTTCGTGTGATAACAAAATTTAATAGGATCACCGTCCGGTCATGACAACCATACACAACGGGTTTCAAAGTAAAAACATTCCTTTAATGCACCACTTTGATTAGGGACGCGAAACGAGAACGGAAAGAAAAAAATCCCTCGACTGTCAACAGAACGTATGCGCCTGACTGTTTCGCCAGTGAACTGAACAAGACACATCTCACCAATCTCTGGCAAGGGAGGAGATACAAACAATGGGATCAATGGAGCCTAAACTGATTTTAAATAATGAAGAGAAATTGTTCCCTCAAAGAATATTCTTTTATCTTTCAGCTTTGCAAGAGTCAAGTGATCGGGGAGCGCTTAGATAAAATAAGAAACTGTGTGAATAGAAGGGCACATATCAAATAATGGTGGAAACGAGGATAAACTAAGGATTGTGCGTAAAGACAAACTAGAGGCTGATCAAGAGCAACTAATATTTACTCCACGCTACGTCGCACAATTGATTCAGACTGTCACTGACACGACAGCATATGATGCGGCATCAAAGCCAGTGAGGTGAAGGCCTCCTTAAGAGTTTACAAGCACAATTCTAAAACCAAAGAAGCATGAAAAGTTAGAATGGAGTATGGTAAAATATCAATATATTAAAATAGTCGATTGCTTTTTGTTTATTTTCCGTTGAAACTCCAAGTTACTTTTAAGTCCTACAGCTATGGATGGATTAGCACTGCCGATGGAACCAAGCCTGGTCAAAATAGCTGAACAGTGCTTTCAAACTGTCCAGTTTGCCCTCTAAATGATGACATTTATTATAAAATTGAAGCAAATCTCCCACTACTCCCGTTCCATACACAAATATATATATACGCTAGCAATCGAAATGTTTTATTGACCATTTATATGACCATCCAAACACCAAACATCGATCTTATTTGCATCGTTTTTTTCACTTTTTCTGATTCAGATGTCGGTTCAGATTTGATTACCATCTGCTATAAATAGTTTATCCTTGTTGCGAAGCGCATCCATGTTTCACGTTCTCCGGCCATTCAGTGTCTTCCGGCTACTTTAGTCCTGCATGATTCTGCCCGTTTTAATATCCCCATAGGTGAGGTGTTCACGTGATTGTAACTGATAGTGGGATGTCAGATAATTCATTTTCTGTCCGGTCTTCACGTGAGTTGACCGAGATGATGAACTGAAATATAGAAAAGTAATGATTAGAAAATGCCCGGTGAATAATTTCACCAGATTTTCAGTCTGTGATATTATGGAGGCTGCCACTATATGTTTGGCACCTTTGCGTTGAATTTTAATATCCTAACAATGATCCCATCATGCGCGTTAAATTGGTCTGTGTAGTACAGTTCACAGTGCAGTGATTGTCATTATCTGGATTACAAACTACTGAGCAATTTACAGTCTAGATATTTTTAGGGGAAATTTCATGCAAAACATTTCAAAAATCATCGTTGAGAGGACACTAGACTGGAGCTGCCAAAAATTTTAATTTCAGTTTTAGTTTGAACAACCATTAACCTTGCAATTTCGTGCGCCGGTTTTGGTTGCTGTCTTTTGGCTGCCCACTTGAATGAACAGCAGGAGGACAAGAAAGTCGAGAGTAGAGTCGGATAGAAAATGGAGAAGTTTGGTGGACTAATGCTGCAAAAAAATGAGATGCACGAACGTCACTGTTTACAACACTCAGCCATACCATTCAGTGTCTCTAACCATCGGGTACGAACCCGAGGTCCATCTAGGGAGCCTAAAGGAACCTATGTGACCCAGTCTCCTGGTTAGGGTTTTCATACCCTCGTGTCAGGTCTTAGTTTGACCACCCTTGGGTTTTTTCCACCCACTAACCGCCTCGGCAAACATGGCTCGCCGGAGTGACCTATTTGGTGACATGCCCAACACATGCACCCAACCAACGTAATCTGTGGAGTTCGACCACTTGCTCCGGTGGGCGACCGCAGTTACCTAAAACTCTACGCCTAATCTCAGCATTGCTCATCCGGCTGCCCCAGCAGATTCGTGCAATGCTGCGTAGACAGCGATGTTCAAACACCAACACTATATTTATCCTGTTTTCTTACCCGCCAGGTTTCTGTGCCGTATAGTAGAACTGGCCGAACTGGACCCTTCACAAACAGTCCGATTTCGCGACGGCGCCACACAAGTTGGCAACTGCCAACCAAGCCTTCTGTATGCGAGCTGACACTTCATCCGTGATGCCTCCACCGGGTGAGATGTAGCTGCCCAAATAACAAAACTTATCCACCTGCTCTATTACTTCCCCAGTTAGAGTGAGGCTGGGTGTTGGACCAATCCAGTCTTGCAGTAGCATTTTACACTTTGAAGGTGCAAAACTAATACCGAATATGGCTACGCTGGCACTCAAGCTATCCAGAAAAGCTTGCAACTTATCTGGGTCTTCACTTAGCAGCCAACTTAAGACATTGGTGATGCCGTCGCGACATCCGGTTGTCCGTAAAGAATCCAGTGTAGGTTGCGGCGGTACGGACGGTGCTACTTTACGGAGCAGAGACTTGACCATTATGGGAACAGCATAAAAATATATTGAGGGTGTTCGCACACCACTGTTTACGTCGCATTGTACGAATCTGGTGCGGAAACCGAATGAGCCATGTTGAGGTTAGGATTTCGGTTCACCTCAGATCTTACAACCATCAAACATGCACTTTCGTGCGCCGGTTTTAGTTGCTGTCTTTAGGTTGGATAAAAACAGCAGAATGAAGATTGGAATACTGAGAGCAAATTTAAGCGAAAGATAGCGAATTCATATAGATTAATGAGTAGTTGCACGAGCGCAACTGTTCGCGACATCTAGCGTAGAGCTTTAGGTAATCACGGTCGTCCACTGGAGCAAACTCGAACTCCATAGAATACATTGGTTAGGACATATGTTACGCAAGTCATCAAATAGGTTACCACGACGAGCAATGTTTGCCTAAGCAGGTAGTGAACGGAAAAAATCAAAGGTCAAACAAGGACCTGGCATGGGGGCCTGAAAATTCTAACCAGGAGACTGTTACATAGATCCTTTGAGGCTCCCTGTATGAGGACCCCGAGATCATGTTAACCGGTGGTTAGAGACACTGGGTGATATCGCTGAGTGTCGAAACAGTAGCATAATAGTAGTGCATCTTCTGAATATTCTTCCAACCCCAGTCTATGGATTCTCTATCTTCTCTCGGACTCTGCTCTCAACACTCCATTCTTCCCTCTTCTCTTTTATTCAAATGGATAGCCAAAGGACAGCAACCAAAGCCGGCTAACAAAAGTGCACGGTTAATGGTTGTAAGAACCGAACAGAACTATATATTCTCGGCGAAAGCCTAATTTATGGCACTGGACATATTTTTTCAGGCACGTTCTTTTTAAGCGTTTCATCCTGAAATCCAAGTCATGTTTTGATTTAATCGCATTTGGTCGGATGCTACCAACTGTAGCAAACTTAAACTAAATGCAACTATGGAAATCAGTATATAAACAAAGTTTTCCCAGAAACGCACGACCAGTTTTACGGTTACCGCGGGTAGTTAAATATGCGAATCTGATCATCTCTTACTTGTTCAAATGGACGTTTGGCAGAGTGAAGTTTTATGTTGAAATTGTGAAAGGTTCAGTAGCCTCGGTTGGATTCGAACCCACGCACGGACGCCGCCTATGCTTTTGTACAGCGCACGCTCAACCGGCTGAGCTACGAGGTCACACCAATTGTACTGATCTTTTCACGCTCAAATCATCTAGCCAACTTACAGAGGCTTATGGCATCCACCAGGTAGCATGTAAGCTAACTGTCACGACAGGTTTTCCTTAGAATCCACAGAAATCCACCGAATGAACTTCTAAGGCTAAGTTCTTTGAACATTTCAACGATCTTAATGAAATCTGATTAGGTGACTGAAAATCCATTGCACATATTTTTCATCGATGCCCATACAAAAAGGCCCACATATACGTACTATTTATAATACCCAGAAGTGAACCCGTCGTATAGATCTTGCAGCGTATCTAATCAAAGATGCATCAAACGATAATACACAAATTGGGACAAAACTACTTATTTTACTACCACCGTTTACAAATATTTTTCGTTCGGATTGCAAGAAATAAACTCCAGCATACAAAAGTGAGAAAGCATAACTATGGTTCGCAATTAAATAAGTCTTCAGGTAAGAGTAAAAGAAACGGGTCGACTGGACATATTAGTGCTGGCATGATCCACAATGCCTAACGGCCCAACTCGAATGGATTACTTAACCTAAGCATCCATGCGAATGTTTATCTATCTTTTGCTAGCAAGTTCTACTGTAAATGTGTTGATCATATTCAATTCGGGGCAGATTATGAAACAGGCACAATCACCATGAAAACCAACTTGTGAAAAGACGGATATGATCTTGTCAACCCTCTGGAGCTGCGACTCACTCAGGTTTTGTACGAGTTGCCTGACTTTCTTGGTGTTGGAAATTGTTTTCCCTACGGTACGCAACCTACGTTTATATAAACAGGCATGACAGATTTGCTGTGTATTCATTTTTCAACCGGGTAACATTCACTGTATGCAGCCATTCGGGTAACACGAATGATCAAACAGCCTATTCCCATTGCGCTAGTTCCAAACGTTCATGTTTTGTACAATGAGATTTTTTTAATCATACTATACATTGTTTACCCCAAGCTTGTATACCGAAGTTTTGTTACTTCGATACCAAAAATCTATTGGGACACCAGTTTATCAGACAGATTGATGGCGGGCGACACGAACAGTTTGACTGAGATAACTGAATTTGATGATAAAGTATTATATCAAAATTAAGGATGCAATTGACTCACTTTTCATTTCAACCGTGCCTACTGCACTTTCCGACTCATGAAACGTAAACGCACAACGATATTGACCATAAACACGGGGATCCATGACTGAAAAAGAAGAGCGTGTGCAAGTTAATTTGATTAGACCTAACTGTGAAAAAACACTTTGGCAGTAAACACAAATTGGCGGTTAACTGTGAAGGTTTTGCGTAAAATGAGATTGGTATAGCACACTACACACAGCATCACTTGCTGTCCACGTTTTCTCTCCTGTTCATTTATTGGCATTGCACATGTAACGACCGCGGTAGTAAGGAGCCATTTTCTAGTTCAATTCGCTAACATACATTTCCCTGTTAAGTGATTAGACGATTTCCCACCTCAAGGATCAGAGCCAGGGGATGTTGAATAGTCGGATGTGATCATACGATTCACTCATTTTATTCAGACCTCTCAATCTTATGTGACGGTACCTCGCTCAAGTAACTGTTGGTCGTCATAAATCGTATACTCATGACTCCGACTGTGACAGGTAGGAAATACAGTACTTATATAACACCTGATGGTCATTCGTCGCGAAAGGATCCCCAACTGGAACCGAAAATCCATTAAATACACCTGCCCCACTTTATATTGCTTCGTGAATGTTTTTGCAAGCATAAATCGCTCCAATCCAAAATGCTAAAACTAAAACGCTCAGTGAGGTGGATTTCCTTTTCTCATTGAAAGGGGCTAGTCGTGAAACGAACAAATGATCTAAAATATCAAACTTTTGGCAATAAAACTGAAGTCAAATGATTGACGCGATGACCCAACTAAATTCGGACTATGACAGATCTAGAAGACTTCGGAAGAATGAAACGCGTGTGTATATTCGCGTGCAACAGGCTACGTTCCGACCTGTCATACTTATCACCAACGCTTCATAAACCATGTGACCAGTAGGTCCATATACTATCTACATTGTATGTCAGGGTCATATAGGAAGTAACTCAAGCAAGGTCGATCGCTGCACAGCCGGTAATTTACAAAAGTGGACAGCAGACAGAATCTGGCTGTGCAGGAAGTTAGATAGATTAGAACGGTTTCAAAACAAAGGCCGAACAGAATAAATGCAACCATTTGACTACTTCTGATTTATCGCTACAGTTTTGACCTTATTCAACTAATCGATCGCACGAAATTTAGAATTCAAGATGTATCTTCAAAATAAACGGAAGCTGATTTGTTTTTTTCTTCTTGCATTTCGTCCACAACTTTCCCCATTGTGTGTTGAATGGCAGTCCTTTGATTGGCCGCTCCTTCCCTTCTGAAAATTGTATCTTTGTATATTCAATAAAATGGAGTAAAAGAAAAAAGAAAAAGAACTCTCAAGTTTTAAATGGCCTTATTGATTTTACGTAGGAAACATGTTTTTCTGTCATCCTTTATTCTTCCAAAGCCGATTCATTCTTGAACATGCAATACTTTTCTTCCTGATTGCAAATCTATCATTTCAGTTCGGTTCTTAAAACCATTAACCGTGCACTTTTGTTCGCCGGCTTTGGTTGCTGTCCTTTGGCTATCCATTTGAATAAAAGAGAAGAGGGAAGAACGGAGTGTTGAGAGCAGAGTCCGAGAGAAGATAGAGAATCCATAGACTGGGGTTGGATGAATATTCAGAAGATGCACTACTATTATGCTACTGTTTTCGACACTCAGCGATATCACTCAGTGTCTCTAACCACCGGTTAACATGATCTCGGGGTCCTCATACAGGGATCTATATGACAAGGATCTGTGACCTAGCCTCCTGGTTAGGGTTTTCATACCATCATGCTAGGTCGTAATCACAAATACATTCATACATTTTCGGCTGGTTGGAAAACTATCGGCAATCGTGGACCGCTAGTCAAGTGATGACGTGATCAGAAACTGCATTTTCAGCATCCGTAAAGAATAGGAAAAGCAGTAAAATTTTACACGATCTTATGAAGAAAATCAGCCATTTTACGTAATTGTATGCCATTGTGAAGTTTCACATGTGATTCAAATGATCAATCAATTCCGTCTATCAAACATCAAAGGAAATGCAGTGTCGTCAGTTCAGTAGAGAAAGTTGGAACAATGAAAGTACAAGTCGCATCCAAAGAAAACCAAAGCCGTTCCGACTTCATTATTCAAACACCAAGCTTTTCCGCGTTTTCAATACTACTAATTCAAAAACCACCTCCACACCTCGTACAAAACATTAAGGTGCAGATGACTAAATCAAATATGGGCAACAGTAATGAATGATGTGATTTTCGAAGTTCAGATGAGGTTGGTTGTTTAAAAAGCAAACGAGAAGGAAAGCACTTTACGGACATTTCAATCTTCCAGATTATCATAAGTAATGCACATCCTTTGGTCCCGATGCGAACCAAACCCATGAGTTCATAGAAAAAACAAGTGCCTACTACCCATTTAATCGGCAACATCGTGCATTTCTCTCTTTACGATCAATAAGCAGTAAATATATCACAGATAAAAATGGTTCAGTGGCATAGGCTCTCTGTCCATTGTCTGGGAGTTCGCGATTTCGCAGCCCAGTCGCATCGCTCCCCTTTCCCAGTTGTTATCCATCAGTCTTGAATCGGTTGCGGCGCTTTCTCTGAACAGAGACTAACCGTTTCTCCAATATAAATGAAGTGCGACTTCGCACTGATGATGTTGCCTAGCTTGGCTACGAAACGTCTGAGAATAACACTTTCAGCTAGGAGAACTCACCAACACCAACATACGCATCCCGAGCTACAATCATTCTACATCATCACCAAAACCAAGTTTGTTCGACGTAACGTGTCAAGCTACTTTGATTCGATAGAAACTGTGATTACTGGACCAAGAGGGGCGTAACACGAAAACAAACGGGATAAACTGAGCCGTATGATAAAACTGTGATAAAAGTTTTACTCGCAGTTTCCGTCCAATATACTGGGTGGGCACAACGCAAGACGTTTTGGTAAATATTTGGTACCACATTAAGCTTTCCCATGGGAGATAGTACCAACAGAACGTCCAACGGACCAACCAACGAACGAACGTCTTAAGTCCAGTTTGCGAAGCGTCAAGTGACAGGTACCAGACCTATTGGCAATGCGATCAACTTCTCAAGTTCTACAGATAATAAAAGAATTTTGAACCTCACGAACAAAAAGACGAAGATCCATACGAAATATTAGGCAATAAATAAACGCGTAAAAGTGATCTATTCGAACCGCATGAGTGTCAAAGTCAACAAGTTTACAAGTTTATATAACCATGAGATCAAGCTATTGACTGCTGATCAAGTAATTCAGGGTTTGATGGCCTAGTTTTTAACACGGTTAGAACCAGAATAGGACATGCCAATGAGAAGTTCAAATAAGAGCGAAAAAGCTGTCCGGTGATTTGGCAAAACTAGGGCTTATGAAGGAAATCAATAACAGGAATCGTGAAGAACACAAGTAGTTAAGACTGTCTACTGCACAGGTGATACCACGGCGAATAAACAATTAAGAATGATGAAAGAACCAAAAGTAAATCTCATGAAAAAATAAAACATTTACCTGGAAGGTTGAGTCTGAGTCGGGCAGTAATGCGATTTTCCGAGGCATTTCTCACTACGGATTGAGAATAAATTGTATTCAGCTCCGTACGGTTAATGGCAGTTCCAAACAGACCGCCTTCCCAGTGAACGGTGACCAAATCCAGAACATGTGAGCGTCCGACCGTAAAAGAACAAGACAGCCAAAATTTTTCCTGATCTTCGAAAGCTTTGTGATCCACCTGACGTCGTGTGAGCTGCATATTTGCCACAGTATCGACAAACGACAGTGTAGGAACGACAACACTTTGAAGTTGCGTAACTAAATTGGGATGGAAGCAAAAAAATCAGCAAGTTATTAGTTTTCCTTGAAAAGAAAAAAGAAGGATAATAAGATACCTAAAAGAATTATCAATAATCAACTAGTTAACGCATTTACAAGTTATTTTTGATTAAAAAGAAACTAAACGTCAACAAACGTTGTGGATCAAGTGAATACGGTTATCACTAGACAAAACTTCTCTAGGAAATCTACTTTTCACCTAGTTACAACAATCTTGATGATCTTTTGTATCAGTATTATTTAGCTGAATCTGAAATTTCAAGTTTCTTTATTACACGAAAGTGAATGCAGTAAAAGAGATAAACCCCACGATCCGAAGATATATTGTAGGTAAGATGGTAAGGGGAACATTCCAGCTAGAACCAGCTTGTTGATTCTGCGTTTAAAAACGAAGATGTTGTACGTTGGAAGGAGGACCGAAAGAGGGAGAGTGTTCCACAATTATGCTGTTCTTGGGAAAAAAGATGATTGAAAGTTAGAAATGCGATATCTGGGGATAGTCACTTGAAATGGATGACTAGCCGCTTGTGAGGAATCTACGAGTAAGAACAAGCGGGAGAGGGACAGACGTGGAAAGTTCATCAGAGCGAAATCCAACGTAGTGTCGATAGAACAAGGATAAAGAAGTGACTGCCCGACGGTGAGCTGGTGAATGCAAGTTGGATGTTAGGGATGGGTCGTTAATGAGACGGATAGCCCTACGTTGAACCCACTCAAGAAGAGAAAGAGAGGTGGACGAAGCTCCACCCCACACATGACTGCAGTATTCAAGTGTAGGGTGAATCTGAGCAGTGTAAATCNAGTGATAGTGAGGTGGACGAAGCTCCACCCCACACATGACTGCAGTATTCAAGTGTAGGGTGAATCTGAGCAGTGTAAATCGGGAGAAGGTAAATGGGGCTGAAGAAAAGTCTGGCGCAGAAGAGGAAGCCGATTTTGCGCGCAGTACGGGAGACAAGTAAATAGATATACGGGGACCATGAAAGAGAATATAAGGAAAGGCCCAATAGGTTGCATGATTCTGCTGAAGGGAGAATGTTTGAGATAAAATTCAAGGACGGGGAGAAAGATGCGTGCTTAAGAGAAATGGGCATAAAGGAAGTTTTACTGGCACTGAAGAGAACACGGTCGCGACAGCCCAAAGCAAAA